CTATCTTTCAAAACATTGGCTGAGTACATCGCTGCATCTGCTTGTCAAATTTTTCAGTGATCTTTCGATGCAGGATGTCAACAGCTCGCTTGGAAACTAGACATCGATAAGCCCAAATACAAAGTTGGAAATCGTCAGGATACTGGAAACTATCGGCCGATTTGTTTAACATCCATAAAGTGTAAAGTCATAAAAAGAATTCTCAAGAGAGCTTTGCATCGTCAACTTGATAATGTGTATTTCATCCCTCAAGGTCAGTATGGCTTCCGGAGTACACGCTCTTGTGCCTCCCCAACCTGCTTAACGCCAGAGAAAATGGGGCTCAATCGTTGGACGACGGCAATCGTCTGGAGGTCGTCTTTGTCGACTTCAGGAAACATTTGATAAAATTCCACAGGAACGACTTCGCCTTAAACTTCGGGGATCCGCGTTTCTGGGGAGATTCACTCTCAGATCGCTGATTTTTCGAAGAACCGTAGTTTGGGAGTGAAGCCAAGTGAAACCTACTCCGAGCTAGTTCTCAGGACTAGTGGAGTTCCGCAAGGCTCCGTCCTCGGCCCAGAGTTGTTTAAAGTATTCATCAACTACCTTCCAGCAGAACTCTGAACGGACTGCTTACTATATCCTGACGACTTAAAGCTATTTCCGGAGATGTTCGAACTCGAAGATCCTGACCGATTGAAAGTGAATCCAGACCGGCCGCACAGCTGTACATTGGAGTGTCAGTTGTCCATCAATTACAATAAGTGCTCTGTCCTCCCTATCGGGGTTCCTTACCCGTTTGGTGCTTATCACATTGGTGGTTTATTGCTCAGGAACGCCGCTTGTGAGAAGGACCTTGGTATACTTGTGTCTACTGATTTGCGTACAACCCAGGACACCTTGAGAAGGATAGCGGCTGCTAAAAGAATGTTCTATGCTATTACATCATTTTTCTAAAAGACTCCTGAGTCCTTCAAACTCCTCCTTACTCCCCGTGTGCGCCCCATTCTCCAAAACGGTTCATCCGTGGACTGTCCTCTTACAAATATCGAACGTATTCTCACAGAGAGAGTCCAACGACGAGGGTCAAAATCGATCTCGGCGATCCGGAATTTGTCCCAAACCAGCGACTTCGAATGATGAATTGGACTATCGACGTCGTCGTGGTGATGTGGTTTATACCAGACGCGTTCTGCAAGAGATGATGGGAAATAAACTGAAAGAGCTCGTTCAACTCAGTCGATAAAAAGATCGTCAGTTGTACAGGGTAACGGCGCTTCGCTGCCACGCGACCACCACCAGTCGCGCGTGGGCTAAGTGCACCGCGACGACGCCTACCCCCTACGCGGATTCGAACCAGTGACCTTATGGTTGCAAACCAAGTGCACACTACTGGGCCCATGGCCGACACGAGGTCACTGCTGTAAACCGTTTAAGTAGAGGTGGCTACCAGTCCGTCACGATGTCACCTTGTCCACCTCGTGAGATGGACTGGAACAAGTTACCCGAGCCAATCGTTAGCGTACCGAATGAGGAAAGTTTCAAACAGCTGACGCTTATTCGCTGAGTAAGCAAGGATCGCGTTGTTTCCGCATCGATCCTGATGGTTTCCTATGGAACAACGTATCGTAAGGAGGCACGCTATCACTGCTTTGAGCTGGAATTAACGGAGCTGACACACGATCTCTTTTCTACTCTCTACCACTTCAACGAACTCCAATCTGAAATTGTTTCGGATATATATAGCTCAGGGCGGAAGCAGATTTTGAGTTGTTCTCCTAGCTGAATGATTGCTCTGCAGAAGTTTAGTTTCCAGACTAGGCAACCTGCTCAGTGCGGCTTCATGGGTCTGGTTCGCAGTGTATCAAAATCGAATTCGAAGTCCAAGTGCGTATTGATCGAGTTCTGCTTTGAATACCAAGGATCCATAAGCTCACGCGTTTGCCTGATTTTGGCCTTCCCGAATATGTTGGTGTACCCTAGGTCGAGTGTATGACTCTTGGCATCCTTATGCACAGACGTCAATGGGTTTCGGATCTTGACGACGAAGGGCGTGGCTGTGTTCCTGCTATTTATTCCAGCGCCTGCATCACTGCCTCGGCTACCAATCCTGAGACGCGCGATCCCACTATTGTGCCTCGTTTCTGCTTATGATTTGCGTCGTTGGAAGTGAAATGTGTTGTTAGACCTAAGTCCAGCAAACCAGCATCCGGCTGGCGTAGTTTACTGCATGTGAGAGACAACGTGTGTTCCACCAATAGCCTCGGCATTGTTTGTTTCGCCAAGTTGATGTCGATTGATGTGAACGAGGCGGTTGCACCAAAACAGAACGTTGTTTCATCTCGTTCTATAGTTGTGCTTTTGAGCTTCTCAAAAAACAGTTCTGCCGAGCTGCTTGAGTGTTCCGATCGTGTGATTAGATGTTTTAGCAGGTTTCAGAGCTCTTTTGCAAGTCTGAAATTTGATGCTCCAGGCAACGGCACGATGGGGCGAAGAGGCACTCCGTTTTGTGTACTTTCGGCAAACCGTGGACCTTTGGTAATACCGAATCTTATGGTCGCATCTTCTTGTGTTTCAATTTTGTGATTCGTCCCATTGGTTCCAGTATGTGCAGAGGGAGTCTGATGTTGTCTTCTAAGTGTTCTGTCTAGTCTTCGTTTACGGGCTGTTATGTGTCGGTATTACTGAGTAGTTGTGCTCTCGTCAGCTACTCCGTTGTCCTTGTCACATAGGACGGACAAACTCACATGTTTTGTATGCATACATATGTGGGTGCCTCTGCGAGACTATCACCATTGATTAGAAAGTATGATCGACGAACAATGCTGGCTATTTGAACTTGAGCAACCCTAGTCGGAGTTTCATAGCCTATTGCAATATTTAACCAGTTATTTATATGTATTCGCCTGATGAGAATTGCGGAAAAGAAATTTCTGCGCTGAATTGAATTAGCTTTGTTTCTTGGAAAAGTAAGACGTATTTTTTCGGCCAGTAGTATAACTATGCTCCAGTCCATTTGAAGTTCGTCAGGAGGTTACGTTCATTAGTATTGAATATATTGGTTTCAACTTGACGACTGAGAGCCGGGATGATCCTGTGACTGACTTCTGGTTGTGCTTCAGGTTCGATGTTTCGATTTCAGGGTTGATTCCAGCTCGGTGAGGAAGTCGATGGGATTGGAGTCCTCAACATTGAGATGCGTCCGATAAGTTTCGTATACATAGGTTCGTAATCCATATATCCTTTTCTTTAGTTGGTTTCTGTTGCGAGATCAAATGCAGCATCTCTTCAAGCTTCAGTTGTGTGTTGAACTTCGTCTTGTGTGTTCTGACCGCTACCGCTTTTTCCAATACTTTAGTCAATTATGATGGTAGTTTGGATAAGCCAATTGCCTTTTTTTGGTCAGTTACCATATTTTATGTCACTGGTTATGTGCTATTTTGATCAAAAGGCGCTAAATTCTTCATCCATATGGTTCCGTTATCTTACAAGCCAGAGGATGGTTGACCGGAGGACGGTAGTGCAGGCTCAAGGGTAAAAGTTGCCTTCGCAAGCATTCGTGAAGGAAATAGATTTGCTCGTTAGTGGAGGACTAACGGCTGACAAATGCCTCCTTTCGGTGAGCAGATTTCAGGGCACAGTTTCCAGGGTGATTTGAAATAGTCGTACCCGTAACTCGGAGTGTGGATAAAGATTTTGTGTAGTTCTCCGAAGTCGCTTACGAGGCGCTATGAACCAGACCCTTGAAGCCACACTGATGACGTCACCTAGTCTGGCATCGAAACGTGTGTAAAGCATTCACTAAGCTCGGGCAAAGCAATCATTGTGATTTAGCTTTCAGTCGCGTAAGCTTGATAACTCACTTACAAAACTGACAAATTGAAATGATTTGCTTGATCGGTGTATCTAAAGTTGTCCTTACTCATGTAAAATTGCTTGTCACAAAGAATATTTTCGGTACTCATCTATGACACTGCTTGGATGATTCGGGCCACTTTGTACATTTCCGGAGGTTCACACTATACATCCCCGAAATGGTGTTGTACTCTCCTGCATTTCCGATGTCGTCGGTAGATAACGGTAGTGCTTACCTGTTAATGAATACGCTATGCCACCCAGCATAGAACCCTATTGGACAGTTAGGCGTGCAACGTCAACTTGCACTGTCCCCTCACTTTGATTTATCCCTGTATCGATCCGTAAAACAAACTTTTTTGCTTCATGTGTTTGGGCAGCTGATGGGTAGACAAGTTTGCGACCAGCTCATTCAGTGTCATATCCACTGCAGATAGATGACTTAGTTGCCATGATGTGATGTTACATAGTACAGGTGATCAGGGGTGATTCCTGTTGCAGCGTCACCAAGATCACTTAGATGTACAACAGATATCAGTGTCCAAAGAAAACGTGCTTCTATTTCGAATCAGCTCTTCGCATGTGTTGGATACGTCTAATATATTGTGGTTGGGGATTGATTGAAAATTTGTAACGAAAAAGCACCTAGTTAGCTGACTAACTCAAGAGAACTGCGTGTCCGGAGCAGCGACTTTTAACTAGTACCGAACATTAAGCTTTTTTATTCAAACAACTGAATCGTCACCAAAAATATTTCTTGTTTGTGCAGCAGTGCAGTGATGTAATTCTGTGACTCAATGTGTATGTAGTGGTTGATGGCACAAAGAAATGGTTGTGATGTTTGAATGGATATTTTCATGATTACGAAACGGCAAAAGCTCTGACACCAGTAGCAGTATGGCTGCCATTTTTCATGAAGATTCCAAAAATTCGAGACATCTGTGTGCAGTATTTTGGAGAGGTTGGCGTTTAGTTTAGAAGCCACTCAGGATTTATTTGTGCGAGATTTTGCGAGTGTTTTCATTACGGTCAACGAACATCGCAGATAAGGCCTAGTGATCCTTGAAATGAACACAAAAGTTTCTAAGTTCTGTGGTCTGTGACATCTGCTGCCGGATATGACTACACGCAGCAGAAAACGGATATATCATGATACAACTCACCAGAAGCAGCTGTTCCATGATATGCGACAGTGGCAGATAGCATAGGTGGGTTTGCCTTGAACCATCTTTTGTCTAAAACAGAACAGTAACGAAATCACACAGTGAGCGTAGTGCCAAGTGTTTAAATGTTCCCTACGCAGCAAGCGATGGTAAAAGTGAAGATCAATGCTGTGAATCAAAAGTGTGTTGGTCGTACACCTAATGGCTTCGATCAGTGCGTATGTGAGTAGTAGGATTCGATAAGAACATGCATCGACGCTTTTGCGTGTTTGCCACACATGGAATTCCAACCAAGTACTGTTGTTCCAGCCTCTACATAAGCTGTGTCCAGAGATGGTATCAACAATGCGCTGGCTGCTTTGCACCACATAATATAGCCTATATGCTCCGTCCGTACACTCAGAAAACCAAAACACATAAACCCACGTCCGTTATTCTGAGAAAGCCAAAGCGATGACAATTGAAACTTCATAAAACCAAATGTGAATGATTCAGGCTGACAAAATTTTGTTCCGCAAGTTCACTGTTCTCGGCTGGGCTATGTTTACTGTTTTCGTATTTTAGGAAACCGTCACCGAAAATCCTGTGGGACATGTAAAACTTCGCTTTTATTATCCCAAACATAATATTGGCCAGTAAACTCTTGATCGCAGTAGCAGTTCGCTTTCGAGCATTTCGGAAAAGCTTTCTGTTTGAGTGCAGAAATACTTATGCCTAGGCGAACTCCGGAGTGCGCTTGCTAAACTGCTTCACGGTGCGCACACCTTATTCCACCGGACTGTAAATGAGTCATATTGGGTTGAAAGAAACCAAGTTGACATCGTGTAGCAGTGAATGGCTATAAGCAACAACACGGTTAAATATATTAAATTGTCCGTCATCCCCATTGCTTGTGTTTAGGGATTAAGTGGAAATGTAAATACTGAATATATTTGACTAACTACAGACGCGGTGATCGACTGCCTTTTGTAGTAACAATTTTGCTGTATTTAACACGTAGTTTGATTTCTGGGGAGTGCTTGCTAGCTGCAGCTTACCTTTCCCTTTCATCGATAAAAGATACCGATCAAATTTATTTATTTGACCCAAGATAGGTAAAATCCTGTTAAGGAATTCAACAAATATTTCAACTAAGTAAAACCTCTAGGGCAGGCAGACCACTGTATGCGGTGTTTTCGTATTTGTTCTCTCCTCTCTGCACCGGGTGGTAGTTCTGTCGAAGTGGGATTAACAAGCTGAGCACACCCTTATCATGCCCAAAAACTTAAGTATTCGTTTTAATGGTTCCACCGGTGTGTACTAAGTAAATAGCGAAGCAAGCTGCATTGTATATGTGTGGCCTATGTATGGTTGAAGTTGTGTTAAAACTAAACCGAATCCTTTCGACGCTGCTGTCATCTAGCGTTCTTAGAGTCTCTTGGGCTAAGCGATCCCGCAGAATTTACACATCACCGCCCGCGTCAACAGGCAACGTGGTGTGGGACGAATTTCTTGCCCTCAAGGCAGTAGATTCAGGGTGAGCGCAGCGGGTACGGAATTGGAGATGTGCTTTTTCAATCCTACATCTCGACGTAGTGAGTTTCTCTCGCTACAATCAAAGCGGTGCTCTGGTCTGTACTGGCCTCTGCTAGTCGTAAAAAGCACTTTTGATAGGTTTGTCTTCTTTCTCAATTGCGAGCGGCACTAATGGGTGTGTCCATCTTAGTTCGCCAGACGCTTATTCGACAGAACGGTTAATCACGGCTACGTTTCCGGGGCTGTTGCAGTCACTTGCACTGGTCACGAGAACAATTTACGATTCGATTAGCCTTACTTACGAGCAAAGCTTGGTGCGTTGTGTCACCGAACTAGGCTAAAGTGTTTGCTGGCGCCCAATCCAGATCAGACGGCGAGGAATCTATTACCAATCGACGGCGACGGTAGTACAGAGCCAGCAACCTCTTCGGGTGATAAGCGAGTAACTTACGTACGCTCAGAAGAGGCCAAACTGTGTAATCACCGATGCGTAATTCCTTGTGCCCAGGCTGAGAAAGTACATATATGGCCACCTTAAAGAAATTTAGCCATTTTTGAGTAATCAAAGTTTGTCGTCTCATGTTTAATGTCCACATTCAAGTCGTAGCTATAGCTAGGCCTAAGTGAAGGCTAATCAAACTCCTATACGACCATCATCGACTTCAACAGGAAGGGATCTAATGCAGGGTTATTCTTCACTTGTAGCGGTGGAACGCTCAGACTCGACAGCAATCAGTGTTAAAGTGACCTCATAATAAAGCACCGACAATAAGTGGTAAGCATGAACAATAATAATGGGGAACTACGGTCCACAGATCACAACTGAAAGTGAACGAATGACGGAACAAGAGTCACGCGTCAGTACATTCCCGGCAACAAGGATCAACTGTAGGTTTGAAATCAAGTCTGTGGGTCAACCCCACCAATGTATGACTGAACCAACCATCACTCCTGTTGGAAAAGATGAGTGTAGCACCCATTCTCCAAACTGTCCCGAAAACTCAGTAACATATTGAAAGAAATGGTATGCGAAACGATGTTACCGGAAAGTGTACCCGGGAATCTAGGCATTCGTTATTCTCAGATGCGCGAAAACAAATGCGGAAGTTCAACGTATGCTGAACCACCGGTTGTATGCAGGTTATCGGGATAGTCTAACAAAAGTAGGCCGCACAATTTGTTATTAAGGAGTCGACTAGTACATATTCCCGGATATTCTGGAGTGATGGTAAGTAGGCGGAGCATGAATTGAAAAGCCTACTAGGACCATCTTTGTTCAAGGTGTTCCCGAGGCTGGAGTACGTTATGAGCGCGAAACGATAACTTGAGACCAGGAGGTACATTTAAAAGAACCTGTCCCTGGAAAACGTCCTAGACTACGTAGTTCGAGGTTACCAAGGAGGTGGCTTGATACTTGTCAAGGTGATGCTTAAATCCATACAGATTCTAGCAAGTAGATTGAAACAACGGCATGGGGTGCATAGCAGACTACCCTCTAAGCTCCGACTTAAAGTGGCATCATTCAAACGAATGAAGAAAACGGAATGTATATGCGATCAGCCATCGAGCCGCGTTTCCTATAACACTGTTTAGTCCGTCTTCTAAGCCGGAAGTCATGGACCAGGCGTCACGCAGAAGTAGCAAATCAAAGGACCATACATAGGACAACCGGATATGACAAAACCCAATTCCTTAGAGCTCCACCCAAAATATCGTTAGCAGTTTAACTCTCTGCTTGGTACTGTTGTCTTGTGCTGCCTGTGACTACGGTCTGGAGGCGTGCTTTGCTTGACTTCGTGACTATGTAATAAAGATACGCTAGTGTTTACGAGGCTGAACATGCAACTGAATATAGACTTGGCGCCCACAGTCAAGCACTGCCATGGCGAATCAGAAGCTGTTGTTTCATCCACTTGGGAGGTCTCAAACAACAGCCCATTGGCAGTGTCGGTACAGAGTTTGTTGAAGAATTTCGTTAGATGATAGTAAAACCAACAGAAACCAGATCACTTTGTTTCACAATAGTGCCATTTCTCAGTAGCAGGGCTTGCAAAAGTGTGGAAGTAAGTAAGGTCAAGCCTGATCCCGAAACATGAGAATTTATTGAGCGATCACAATCATTTTGTCACCATTGTCCGTGAGAACGAATTTAGCTATCAACAGTGTCTAACCGAAACGTTTCAGGCCAGCCAACAAGCTACCATACAGATAGATCAACAGCTAAGTAAAATAAAGCGTAGCATTCCCTCATTTGTCATTACAAATAGCATGATGGGAAACATTAGGAAAACGGCCACTGATCTGCGGCGTTGGTATACCACGACATCCGAACGTGCAACCTGTTTGTGGCACATGCCTACCCACTCCAGGATGCATGTGTATTATTTTATACAGCAGTTGCGCTAAAGTGATCGCTTTCACTGCGTAGTCACAGTTCTCCGGGAGGCGATAATATTTGTCGAATGCACTGGAGGTTGTAGCTTCGAAGTTAACCCTGCTGCTATCGCGTTTCTTCCTAAGGTGCTTGGGCGAACAACAAGTTCCAACTAAGTGAAAACAGGGTAGTATTACCTCAGCTTTTAGCAGCCGTACTGGCCTTGTTAACTATCACCCTGTTACTCTCAGTGCAATCGAAGATGATAGAGGCGGTAGCTACTGATGCGTTAGTAAGATACTTGGAAAGATGCAGCAGCATACCGCAGGAGCGGCAAGACTTTCATTAACACAGGTCCTGCTCTACTACCCGGTTGATGACGCGAGCTAGTTGGACTTAAGCAGCGAATGATGAGACGGACAGCAACATTTCTAGCTTAAATTTTCTGGAACTTCCGGCCCTTTGATATTTCCAGGCGTGCTTAACTCCTACTTGCAGATAAACACCGAATATGTCATGCAAGTGCGTCAACTGTGACAGAAAAATCCATTTCGTTGCCCTCAGGATTCAGCAACGAAGGGGGTCTAAGCATTTTAAAGGCGTTTTCAGTTGCCCTGCCAAATCAGCTTACAATATATTGGAATATATAGCGCAAAGTATCGGCTCGTTCAATGGATTTCACAAGGGATTTCCAAATCCTGAAGAGTCCTAACCATGTTCGCCGTTCCCTCCTGGCATTCAGTCTGAACACAGACGTGAAAGGCCAGCAAACTAATTCGACCACACAGTATATTCGGGCGAAACCTTGTAGAAACTCCAAGTCCAACGTTGAACTTGTCGAAAATTATTTTCTTTTCGACTATACCAGCTGTGGGACGTATTCCTCTAGCATGTTATTTTTGATCCTCAACTTAACACTAGTTAAAAGCTTCCTCGGCTCCTCAATGTGCCATTTACGTTTATCTGCGTAACTTATTTGTCAAGAAGATACGTAGCACAAACCAACTTGCTTTTTCGAATTCTGATCAGCTGAACTCATAATTATTATCATGTAGCTCTCTAAGCAAGCACACAGAAAACACTCAAATTTACTGACATGCAGTTCAAAGCGGAATATAAGGAGATGAATGACACTGTCATTTCGTGCATTACGGTCGGCCGAATACATACAAACAGCAAATAATAAGATAACAGAAAACCGATGGTTGGTCAACTGTGTTGCGATTGGTGGGTTTCGCGCTACTACGGAAGGCTTAGCGTCACAGTCGGTTGTTTTGGAACACAGACCGGTGGCTGCTGTTGATCGATAATAATGGCGTCGAAGAGTTTGAAAACACGAGGTCTTTGACTGGGTATGAGGACGGTGAATGACTCTTCCGGGTTTACCTGGTGACCGTGTTCATCAAATGCCACGTAACTGCTGACGCAGCCTTGCTACTCCATTCACGTAGTGAAACCGCCGTACTCTGTCGGTTTCGGAGCCACTTCCGAATTTGCTCGTTGATTCAGACACGTAGATTTCGATCAGAGCGTTCAACATAGTTGTCTCCACAACTACATGTGAATTGGTATAGACAATGGGAGGTGCAATGCTTCAACACCGGTGTCCTCAATACACACATGGGTAGTGATCACGTGGACATGAGCAGGCGTAGCTCCGTTACATTGTATGCCTGTTTCATTGAGGTAATTGTTCGTTTCGAGGTGACTATCCTGAAGTGGTCACCTGTAAATGGAAACTCAACAAGAACCGGGTTCTTTTAAACCGTCATCCCTTGATCGCGTTTCACTGTGTCACTGAAGCGCTTTATGAACATTAGTTGTTAACCATTAAATTGTAGCACCTGAAACTACTTCCTTCTTAGCTGCCACTGTATCCCTGTTGCAAAGCAAATGTGCTCCATAGAGAAAGTTCAAACTAAGAAGCGCATGTGGTGTATCGGCAAAAAGCTCTTAAATTGAAAGTTTTAACCCTTCCAGTCCCCGTTTCGGTAGACTGGCCTTTGAATTAGACCATCGGTCGTCGAGTGCGAAGTAGGTCTACGTATGGGAGACAATTTTCGTGTTCAGTGTCATCTCAAAACATTCGTCTTCTGCTTTTCTTAGTTGGAATTATAAAGGAAATTTCAGGTTTGAAATGTCTCAAAAGTGACTGACGTGCTTTTCGCTGCGTTAGCTTCTTTCATCTCAGTCATGTTATCAGACATGTCCAGTATCGGCTTTTCTACTCGTCAGAAGGTTGTTCGGTTCGTTCACTGAGACAACGAGTTGCAAACCGATACACACAGACGGGATTAACCCAAACCACCCAGTCAGCACCAGGTGGAGATTGATCTATACCCTTCAGGGGCCCGTGAAGCACATTCTGGACTTGAGTTCATTGTAAGTGTCACATTAGCTTGAAAAGCAATCGGTCCCATCCGTTGAACAGGCAACCAAACTGTTGCATTATTAGCTGCATTAAAATCTTACTGTGCAGCTTGGTAGGTAGCCAATGACTCTCACTTTATGTCTAGAAGCTTCGTGTACCGCGGTCATTGCATCAGTGACATCGTTTTCATGCACCAGTTTACATATGAGTTAGCCGTTTAATCGTACGCATTTGTGACGCATCGAGACAAGGCGTCACCCGGTTTTTGCCTGTTGGCCTACGCGCGCAATGTGCCCATCCCATGCAATTGCTTGTGTGGACAAGAACCTGGTAACTTTAGGTCTAAGGACACTGACTACCGGCTGTTATGCAATGCAAACAAATCTCAGCTCTTTCCACCGACAGGTTTTGTTAAAGAGATAAGGTAAGACATGCTCCAACCCCTTGCCCTACAGTGACTCAATTACATTCTACCCCGCAACGGCTGACATTAAGTTCACCAGTCGCAACCCCATCAAACAAACCGTCACCGCCCCCTGTGATAAATTCCTTTCGGGCATTGGTAACCAGCATACCTTTGCTCCTTTTGTGCCTACATTTACTTCTATACGTACACCCAACAGCCTATTTGCTGACGGCGCGTGACCAATTAGACAGGTACGTGACGATGCGCGAAAGCAACGAGCGAAGCGTGGACGGGTGAACGTGTAGGAGTAACAGACACAGATAAAACCTCTACGGCCTAACTTGATTGTGCTATGGCCTAACTTGCCTTGGGGTCTTATAATGTGAACACCCACATGAACAAAGATGTCCAACATTTGAATGATCTGTTACACGGATTAATTTGGGAATGTTCCATGCTCATTGTACCGCCAGAGTGCCCTTTCGACCCACTGAAACAGTAAGTACAATTATCCACTCCCGCCAGTCAATTCTCGCAATCATTTTCCTAGGTTGCTACATAAAGACCAAGCCAATTTTTCACTAGTTTACCTTACCTGATGAAGCTCTTGTGTCACTAGCGAAAGGTAGCCATAATACAAGCTTTAAAAATAAGGCGTATTGTTTTGAAACATTCCGAAATTTTAATACTCATAATGAGGAACGCAACTAAAGATTGTCATGAAGATTGGTTGTCAAATACACTCGCAAAATTGCCATTTAGAACTTACCCTTTTAGGCAAATAATCTTCGATGAAATTTACAGCCGTCATGAACGTACGTTGTGTATGAACGACCCCCTTTGGTAATCCTGTTAAACATTCGTAGGGAAATAGAAATTTTTAACCCACTGAATCGTGATGAATTGCTAAAAGAACGTGCTAGAGAGGCAACAAATGCAATGCTACATATTTATTTATTAACGTACCTACGCTAGTAGTTAAAACGGCGTAAGTATTACTGAAATCACGCATCACTTGCGGTGCCTAGGTAAAATCTTGCCGCAGAACCAAATACTTTGGCTTCCAACGGTCAATTGGTGATTGGGATAAACAAACCGATTTCCACAAACCGTGCCAGAGTCAAGGCTATAGTGCTGAATGAGACTGCGTTGTTGTGGTATAAAGCGAGATGAACTGCTCACACAGTCGGCCGAAGAGCTGGTGAGTCAAAGGAAGTCAAAGTGCTAACTCATACGCACACGCCCATTTCCACAGATACACTTTAAAAACCTAGACATCGTCCCCTGCGTATAGCAAATCACTAAGCCATTCCTCAATGGAGAGCAAAATGAAAATCCTTGTGCGATTGTCTAAACATTTTACGTTGTGTGTACACACAAAGGATGATATGTAGCCCTCAATACGAGATGACTCATTCGTATGTGGCTAGAACATGTGTTCGACTGGGTTTCAACCAAAATGCGTCGAATATTACTCAGCTTTCATAGGCCAAATAATAACAGAGAGGTTGAGTAGGATCGGATCTGATGCGATATGTATGTCATGTATGTATGTTGTGCATGTATGATGGTTATGACTCCCGGTCTTACTCTTCCGGGTCTATACTGGGTAGGGGATGTGTGGATGGAACTTTGGGTCGTGTAGCGCAAGCCATATATATATATATATATATATATATATATATATATATATATATATATATATATATGCTCAGCTGCGAAACGGAAAGTGTCCTGGGGCCGACTGCATCCCGCCTGAAGTATTGAAACATGGCGGACCCGCGTTGTTGACTGCGCTGCACCACTTAGTGCAACTTGTATGGATTGATGAGGAAGTGCCTGCTGAGCTGAAGGATGCCCTTGTGCTACCACTGTACAAGGGCAAGGGTAGCAAGCAACGTTGCACGAATTATCGTGGTATCAACTTGCTGGGTTGTGTGGACAAGGTGATTGCCCGAATCTTCCTCAATCGCCTCGTGAGTCAGATTGTGGAACCTAACGTGGCGGAAGGGCAGTGTGGATTCCGCTCGGGTCGTAGCACTATAGATATGGTGTTTGCGGCTCGTCAGTTGCAAGAGAAGTGCAGAGAACGACACCGGCCATTGTACTCGCTTTTTGTTGATTTCACTAAGGCATTTGATACGGTGAACCGCGAAGCATTGTGGCTGGTGTTGGGTAAATTTGGTTGCCCGCGTAAGTATGTCAGTTTAATTGAATGTCTGCACAGTGGTATGCGGGCGAGGGTGCAGCTGAGTGGAGAGACCTCGGATGACTTTGCAGTTGTCTCTGGTATGAAGCAAGGCTGTGTTTTAGTTCCTGCCCTATTTACTATATATCTTCATGCAATGATGTCTTGTGCTTTTGATGCGGCTTGTGCTTAAGTTGTTCGTGTGGAGCACCGTATTGATGGTGGGTTGCTGAACATCCGTCGTTTCGGTGCGAGAAGCATAGTCTGTGAGACAACTATCCGTATGTTGCTGTTCGCTGACGACTGTGTGTTGTTTTCACACAACGCGGATGAGTTGCAACACATGACTAGTGCTCTGGCTTCGACAGCGGCCAAATTCGGGCTCACCATCAACACAAGCAAAACTGTCTGTCTCTTTCAGCCTTCACCGGAGATGCAATCCTCAATATTGCCGCGAATCAGCATTGGTGCTGAAGTATTGGAAACCACCTCCCGCTTCTGCTACCTTGGGAGTCTGATGTCGATTGCTCAGCTGATACACAGTGAGTTTCGTATCCGCGTGTCGAAGGCAGCGGCGGCATTCGGTAAGCTAGAGTATCGAGTGTGGAACAATCATCAGCTTACCATTGGCACGAAGCTGATGGTGTACAAATCCATGTTGCTTCTATACGACAGTGTAACGTGGACGATGTACCGGCAGAATGTGTGATATCTCGAGCGGTTCCATCAACAGTGTTTGCGACAGATTTTGCGCATCGGTTGGGTCGACAGAGTTGCTGACACGGAATTGTTGCGACAAATTGGAATGTATGCAGAGGACTGCATACTTTTGCTGAGACACCTGAGGTGGCTCGGTCATGTGTGGCGTATGCATTCGACGCGAACACCGAAACAACTATTATATGGTCAGCTGAGTATTGGGAAGCGGCATGTGGGGAAACCAAAGTAACGTTACCAGGACATGATCAAAGTGAGCCTCTCATGTTCTGATCTTGATTGGGGTCATGGGAATCGAAGGTGGTTGATCGGCGTGCATGGCCCGATCTAATCACGAAAGCAGTTGACGAAGTGTGGGAGAACGACCTCATGCTCGCAGAGAAGAAGAGGCAAGTGCGGAAGTGGCAAGCACCGATGGGTTGTACTCCATCGACATCGAGCGCATGGTGCTGTAGCACTTGCGGTCGCAAATGCTTGAGTCAGGTCGGCCTAGTGAGCCATGAGCGAGGCCACTCGGGACCACTACCGAAGGGATGACAGGTCCTAGAGAACATAGGCAGGACCAGCGCAGCGTTTGTAGGCACGCTGAATTCGATTTACTAACCGCATGCTTGCATACTAAGTCTCTTTAGTTCAGGTGGTGGGTTTTCAATTTGTCTTATTGCCTTTCTTTCTCATATAAATGTCTACCTGTACTTTCTTCTATAAATTTGCTAATTGTAGTTAATCTGGATAACATTTTCGTGTTTTTGGCATTTCTGTAAAATATACTTTCTGACCTCGTGAACTTATTTCGGATTCTTTTGTAAACAACTTATTTCATTTGCTCATTAAATTAATATTTGGGTTACCGTTTCCTTATGCATTACTCGATTTATTTTCTTTTTTAGCTGTCTCTCAAGTGATTGGCTGTTGCTTGATGTTCCCGGTGTGGCTGCACTTGATGTGCATGTTCACAAGGTGCCTACCTGTCTGTTACCCACTACCTCGTCCATAAAGGGGTCCAGACGACGGTAAGTCTGCTGGAGGGGCGGAGTGCACAGTCCTTGTGGTCGTGCTATTCTCGAAAGTGATTCCGTGCACTCAGTGTGTAGCGGACTACGGTCCGGCCACGGCGTTTTATGTGCTTGATTCCCAAATACAGCGTGCTTGCGTTTGCCTATGTAGGAGTGTGGGCCAGCTCCGTTGATGAAACGTGGCTCCCATCCACATGCCTCCCGGTCTTATGCTTTCGGGTTTAGACTATATATGGGGTGGGTGGGTGGTGCAGCGCAAGACACCCATGGTCCCTCTGTAGGCGCAGGCGTCCTGTGGCTGGCCACAGTGACAGTCAAATCCGAAACCGGATGCCGCCAACCATATATACGTTGGAACAAACTAATCAACCGGATACTTCCCTCCGCTTTCAGGGAAAGTCACAACATATATCATGCAACAATTAAGCCACAAAGGGAGCTATTTAGACCTGTCCAGGAACGCGAGTGGTTGTCCAGCGACTGCGATCATGTGCCCGGTTTGCAGTTGACTAGTAAAAAAACCCAGCGGAATTAGTGAAAGCTAAAGTTTATAGCAATTATTTTACACTGTTCTTATCATTAGAAGCTAATCCGTGAAAACTGTTCATTCCATTTTTAGTGGTTTTATCCTACGTGACCAAGCACTTGTAATTCGGCTGAAGCGTGGGGAAGTTACGACTGTAGTTAGAACATGGTGGAACGTTGTGTAGTGTTCACTCAAATTTTCCATTATAGTTAGCAAACAATTTTTGAGCTCAACGGCTGATCCGTTTGATCACTTGGACGTCATTCGTCTTTGGGTTCTGTTGAGTAGGTGGTACATTCGAAGATGAGGCCTTTCATATGGCACCAGACGCTAGTGCATAAACTGTTTATGATAACCTCTCGCACTGATCATTTGGAACATGCACTTCTCTCACAGACGGTCGCAAAGTACCAAAAAGTACAATGTGTGTCAGAAGTCCCGCTGTTGTTGGTCCGTTGTTCGGTGAATAAGGTGTACGCGGAGGGTCATTAACCTATGTTAATTAATCTCTTGACCTTTAACTCTCGAACGCATGCGCAGCAGTGAACATGTCCGGAACATGCGGTCACGCCCCATGGCTTAATCGAGCCCGTTGTGAATGGGAGTCAGTGCGGTTTCACAAAGAAAGTTTGAGCGAACAAACGAGATGTCTGAGGCGAGGGCACAGGTGATGCACGGATGACCAGAGTGAACAATGTTGACCTGATATTCCAAAATCCTCTCTGCAAGGGCCGATCAGTTAACTCATTTTGATGGCACTTCAGGCCATTTCGACCGGACTCTCTCCGTCATTTGGAGGCGCAGTGCAGGCCACTGTGTAATCTCACAGTCAATTTGTCAATAACATAAGGAGGGCGTACGTCCCGAAAATGTCACAATCGGCGCTAAAGGAAAGTATGTCACTTAAATTGCATTTGCGAAAGAACTGGTTTGACGCGGTTTCGCGATATACGGCGTTAAGGGGTTAAGCATCTATCGTTTTAACAGCGCTGCTTATAACGGTAGTGTGAAATGGGAATATGATGTTAGCACGCAAACTAATGTAGGGTGCAGTGGCAGTTAACATCCTTCGTGAGCGCATAAAAATAGTAGAACACTGGCTCGTGCGCTTACGTGGGATACAAAATGCTTGCATGAATCGTCTGGAGACATACTACAGTTTCACGTTATGTAGTGAAGTGCTGGGAACTAACAGCATTATCAAACCGTTTTTTGATGTTATCCAGAAAGGTATGAACACCGAGCTATTTGGCGAATTAGTATTGATGAGCTACAATGTGGGGGAAGCAATCGGTAGCGAAAGCAACCCGATTAACAAGCAGTGGAGGTTGGTTAATTGATGGCTTCGGAGACCTGTTAACTAGGAGTACTCTGCTGCCCACAGGGCTTGTCAATGGGCACAGTCAGAGGGGGGGGGGAAGAATGCGGCACCGCAACCGAAGTTGGAGCCGGATCACTTCAGCCACTGCTTCTGTCGCACAGCTAGTCCTCGCCTCATTGCAATAGGTTCACACCAGTCCAAGCAAACAGAATATTTCAACGAAGCAACTTGCTGGGTGTACTGATGCCATGCTCAAGTCATCGCGGAATGGAAATCGAAGTTCTCGCAGGTTTCCAGGGATGATGTGATTTTAACACCGTAGCCTAGTTATAATCCTGAGAAGGCGAAAAACAACGATGGTAGACTCTGGAATAGTAGCTTGATAAAGGGTAAAGCCACACCGTCACAAAGAGGAGCTGGCAAATTTTAAGAATACTTGTAGCTCGCCGTATGGATCAGCGTGATGAAATATCCTCTGAACTAAGTGTTTCAGCTGCAGTCGTTTTGTTATCAGGGTGGGTAACAGCTACATTACAGCATCCGGGTCATTCAATTAACATTGCTTCTGCCCTATTCTTATCGAAATCACAGTGCAAGATTTGATCTTAATGTTTGCAAATAACAAATTGTGCTGGCTGCGCGGGTGATGAGTTGACTGAGAAATCATTAGGCGGTGTTCTTGAAGCTCTTATTAGGTGACAGAGTTGCAATACGAAATTCTTGATTCGCATTGAAGGGAATCTTGATCATTGCGACTGGTTGGACTGTATCTAATACAGATAGATGTTAGACCTTGACCACCTGTGACACTGCACCTAACGTCTGGTTTCGCTCTCGGTTGCGCTCATTATTTAGAGATAGCAAACTGATACTTTAACCTAGGAAGTACAGACTGTCAGTCGAAGGCAATACTGCCCATCCACCGATCCGCGAGCATTGCATTTGACTCATTTCAGGATTATCTTTCAGGATAAGTGATCGACTTCGTTGTTCCGTTGGCCCGAGGTAAACTATGGCATGGTCCGCAGCGCATGGTAAACAGCTTCTAGTTCTGAGTATTCGGATGGGGATGTCACGGACACGGCCATGAGTAGCCAGTAAGGAATTGTGAGTGTTATTAGCTCAAGGCGAGGATGAGGAAGATGAGTAGTTTGGCTGCAGACGTTTTAACGAATAATTGACAATGATTTATAATGGGTGAAATGTGAGTAGGATGACCGGAGTGAGGATTATAATGCAAAAGGAAAAATATAGCATGAAAAGGGGAGACTTTGGGTCTAAGGTGATTCGCCTAGTTATTCACATGGACACATACACTGGTCTCCTCGTTGCTATGTAACGGAGAAGGCCGGTGAGCACGCGGTTTCATCATCCGATTATAGTTGTGCGATATCACGTAATGCAAATGCGATAAAGTGTCCTCGAGGCCTCTTTGGAAAATTGTTGGAAGAGCGTTGGAAGAGCGTTACATATCCGCGATATTCAAAGAAAAAAAGAATTTTCTCGCTAATCAAGTAGACTTTATTGCGTGGCTAGTTTCAACTGGTTAGTAACGTGACTGAAGTGCAACAGATCGTGATAGGCGCGATTGTAGTTCACCAGTGATGTGCTCTGCTAACCGACACCGATGTTCATCGCAGTACAAGCCGAGGGTTTGCAGTCTGAGTTGGTAGGGGAGATAAAACAATCCCCTAATGCTTTCGGTCGTTCTACATTACGGACTTTCAAGTGCATCACCCGACTAGGTAAAATCCCCAGTGCATTCTCCTGGAAACTGCGGCCAAATTAGCCAGCTCTTAGAATCATTTCGAGCTCTTAGAACAGCCCAACATCCAAACACAGTGGGAATTTCATTTTTAGTCTTTCAGGGGTCTATGCAACAGTACCCAGAACATTCGACGGGACGATGTAAAAGGTGGGACATCAGCATTATCCGAAGCGGATGGAATATGCAATAGTAATAGGTCTTGAATGCAAATGCGGCAATCTAGTAGTTTAACTAGGTGCAGTGACTGTCTGCTGGACATTAGATGAAGTGGATCTCATAGAAGTTGATCTAAATCCCTTCAGTCAATATTTACTTGGCCGAACCTTCGTGATCTATACAGAGCATAAACTTCTCTTTTCCTCCTTGGCTATGAGAAGGAGATACAACAAATGATTCCACTCAGAATGTTTACTTGGTTCCTAATTCTATCCACATATACATGCAAAATTCAGTACATTTTCGGCTGGCAGAATACCATAGCTAATGTCCTTATTCGACTTCGTGTACCAAAGGTGTACCTTTGGAGGAGTTTAGTGCACAACAGCTCGTAAGCTTAGTTTAGCATCGCAATGATTCCCCGGTCACGTCAACATATATATGTCAGAAAACGGATAGCGATCCTGTTTTGTCGCTGATGAAGCGCTACGCTCAAGTCGGGTGGCCACATTCACATCCGAAGAACTCATCTCTATCCGTAATAGGATACTTGAGCTCGATCTCCGGAACGGATGCTTATCGTAGTGAGCACGATTTCCCTCAAGTATGCTCAATGAACTACGTGTCGCTCACCCAGGAGTTGCCAAAAGGAAGTCACTAGCTCACTTTTACGTGTGGTGACCCGAATTAGACGATGACATTGTAGCGGTTGGAAGTTTGAGACTGTCAAGCGAACCGTAACGCCGCTCTCCATGCGACAGTGCAACCTTGGAGACGCTTCCAAGTAGAGTGTTCTGGTTATTTCGAGGATCAGATGATTTTATTTATCGTTGACACCAGTTCTACATAGATTGAAGCTTACATTCTGGCCTCAGCAACTTCAGCTAGCACCATAACGCAACTGCGCACAATGTTCGCGACGTTTGGTCTTCCCGAAACATTAGTTTGACAATTGGCCAAGGTTTTCCAGTGCCGAGTTTTCTACCTTTCTTAGCTCGAACGGCGTTAGACACAACTACTGAATCTTATCATCCGTCTTCCAAAGAGTTAGATAGGGGGCGGTATAGACAGTGAAAAAGCTACTAAGAAAACAACCAAATGCTGCACTGCGTGTGCGCTTAGATCGTTCGCTGTTCGTGTACCGAAACACGCCAAACGAGACAACAGGTAGAACCCCAGCGGAGTTAATGTTCGGTCATCGCTTGCGTACACAATTAGATTTAGTACATGGGACCATGGAGTCACAGATTGTTGAAAGACAACAAGGGACGAAGGGATATTTTGATAAATGCAGCACGAACAGAACTGCTGGGACATTACGCTTTGAGGGTAGCTACAAAATCCAGGGATGCCTGCAGTCACCCGTGTGAGCAAGAACCACACCAAATGTGAAACGGATCAGGGACTGGCGGCAGTTTGCATTTACTGACCTGTATGCAATTGTAGGGGTATCACATAAATCGACTGGCACTGTGCATAATGCAGAAAGGTTCAGCGCCTACTCAAGGTTGATCACCACGTGAGTCCGCACGCAAAAATTTAGTGAGTACACCGCCGTACACATAACATGCAGGCAATTTACTAGCGTAGCCACTGACATGCACCAACGGATAATCTGATCGCGAAAGTTCAAGCTTTTTTAATGGGTTGCGTACATTGTAGACGTTCCACTGTGTTGGATATGTTCCCTCCTTAGCTGATTGGCAAATTGATTGTGAGATTACACAGTGGCCTGCACTGCGCCTCCAAATGACGGAGAGAGTCCGGTCGAAATGGCCTGAGGTGCCATCAAAATGAGTTAACTGATCGGCCCTTGCAGAGAGGATTTTGGAATATCAGGTCAACACAGTTCACTCTGGTCATCCGTGCCTCACCTGTGCCCTCGTCTCAAACAGACATCCCGTTTGTTCGCTCAAACTTTCTTTATGAAACCGCATTAACTCCCATTCACAACGGGCTCAATCAAGCCATGGGGCGTGACCCCATGTTCCGGACATCTTCACTGCCGCGCACGTGTTCGAGGGGGAAAGTCACCTAGTTCACCGAACAACGGACTAAAAGCGGACATGACTTCTGACACACACTGCACTTACCCACTGCTCTGAGAGTCAAACACGTGATTAAACTGTCGTTTATTCACAGCATATTTAGCACAGCTAAAAATGACACCTACCTGTCCATCAATCTAAGGCCAAGCCACCACCAATAGGCCGAAAGCTGCAACATAGTGCTCTCTGTGTCCCACCTCCGACTTGTGCGAAGATTGCTACGTGTAAATACCCAATATCCTAGTCTGCGTTAAAGCTGCGTCAGCCTCAGAAACCGACTTCGACACTTGTCAGCAATAGGATTATTTTCAAACTCTGATGAAGTCAAACGGTAGGCTTCCGTTTTACAACGCAAATGTCGTTCTTCTGTCAACAGAGATAAACACAGAGCTGCATTGTACGACAAAGTTGTTGAATGTGTTTCGACGAGTAGATTTCGGAGGTGTATAAGCTCTTCGATCATCCTGTCATACTTCTGCATTGGGGAAATATTCTGTCTTTATGGAGCCGAAACATCCAGGTATATTAGGTTGCTGTTGCCGACTGGAGCTGGGAAATGGTGAAACAAGTGCCATTTTGCGATGCACATTTCCAATGAAGAATATTAAATGAAGTGTAATGTCCCTCAATAGATACAACCCGTTCTTCGCCGAATCAATCTTGGCGGTGTTCTAAAATGTGTCCGTTTTAGGTGTGAAGCGGAGGTAGTTTAATTCGACAAACCGTCAGACAGACATACGTATTACACTCCACGAGCCTCCCCATTATCCACTTAATAGACTCATCTACAGACGCCATAACAGAATATGATACATAGGGAATATGATTCACTATTCAAGGAGACGGATGATAGCGCGCTAAGCGTACCTGTGCTTCCACTGGTGTAGCAAATGAGGAATGGGGAATCCAAATCCGGGGCCTGTAAAGGGAAGAGTACGACAGTTATATAACACACAACATACGAATTACTGCATAGAGGAAAATGTGATAAACATCGGGACCTTGCGATGATCCTGTCAGCATGCAATTTGAAACTGAAAGAATATTGTACGTAAGCGCAGTGGAGACGAAAATTGTTCACCTATCAGTCTACCCAAAACAGAAAACCGTCTTAGCTTTATGTAACATCATCTTAGTGATCGGCCACTTGTGTTGACAACATACATTTGTTCCACACACTGCCTTGCCGCCTTCTAAGCAGACCAACAAAGAGCATTTCGTGCATCTTGAGTATGTTGCATTCAACTTGTCTGAACACTAATTGGTTGCATGGTCGGAAAATCGAAGTGACCGCGACTATCGAACCGGTATTCATCATCTCATGTAAGCATATGTTGCATGTGGGAAAGCCAATAAAACTCCGCCACTCCAGTGTTCAGAAAGTCGGTATACTTAAATTAACGGTGCGGTTCTTGGGTTTTCGATTAATAAATTACACATATTTCGACTCATCATCTTAAGATCAAGCCCCTCAGTGCATGTTGCACAGCAGGTCAAGTGAAACGGATCCATGCTGCCGCAACGTCTAAATCTAACCAAAATCTCACCAGAACCACTCATTTAACGACGTATCGTGAATAGCAACCTCTATGCGCTGCTTGCTAAAGTAGACCGGACTCAATTTATCTATATGGCGTCTTAATTTTGCTAATTTTGCTAATCATTACAGTCGTACATCTACTGTAGAGCGGCTGCCAAGCCTTATCTTTGGTAACTGGATACAAACGACCTTGAAACTGCATTCCTACGATAAGTAAGATCTGGTTATCTTGTTTTCGACTGGTTGACCGTTCGGCTGTGCTACAACACAGAGCAGCCGATGGCATGAAATTGGACTCATATCTATTGATCGCGTCTTGTGGCCGTTTGAGAACGTGCTCAGACTAGCATATAAGTGAGACGTTGATGGCTTGGTACGATGGTCTATGGATCACGTGGTCTCGAATCTTGAGCTGTTAATTATCCAGCACAGAAAATATCTGTTGTCCACATACGTTTTACCGATGGTCACCAGCATTACCTTGTGTAATAGATATCTTGGTAAAACCTTCCGGTTAACTTTGATGTCGCAGAATCAAGAGGGTAAAACTCACATGTTCCTCCAACGGATACTCAAATCCAAGGTTCTGTGTAAAATAAGGCGACAAGGAAATTTAGGTTATGGGTTGCATAATGAGCTAATTGAAGGAAATCAAGAAGAGCATAATTGAGCTAGTGACTACCGGTACCTAAATACTAAGCGTGAGTTCATTACCGACAGGCTTAGCGTGGTCGACTCCCTTGAAATAATACCGACTATCCCGTCTCACGGAATAGCAGAACTGGCACTTTTACACGTGCTGTTCACTGTAGTTGTGGAAATTAGTCATTTGTGAAGGTCCCTCATTTGTTTTCTATGAGAAACTAACAATCACTTTCTAATGCCACCATGCGATATCCTCATTTGGACGTAAGAAATCTCTTGCACAAGTTAATGGTCGATACAACGTGCACCCAACATCAAATGACCAATAATGGGTAGGATGTTTGGCGAAATTTTACTGACTCGTTGCAAGGTGGCGAAACGGCTCTCTGAGGCTGTTCCGGATTGGTTATTAGACAGTTTGACTTGTGAGCTGTTGCGACGAAGTAGTAAAAGTTCATATGAGCGGTTGAAATCCTACTGACCATTTACACTGCCTGATTCTCCGCTTTCCCAGTGCTTGGACCAATGTCCTCTCTGTTATCATCTGTAGGACTGTAAGTCATATCAGGCATATCGCTAAGTAATTGGAAAACAAATAAAGGCATATGCGGTTAGTAACATGTATGCACGAGTGTTGCCTCTCAAAGTGTACACTCCAATGTTATAACAAATAGGTGAGTCTTCCAATCTATGCGAATAAGTATGCGATAATCGGATCCTACCCTGTATGTGGTAAGTCCAAATACAATCCATCAGGAAGATTTCGTCACGGAATAAGCTTGAAACCAACTAGTTCATGATTTCGGAATGTTTAGAATACAAGTATCACACACCTTTCGAAAAGTAAGCTTACGCACCCTTTGACAGGGTGTTTATCCTACACGCTACTTTCCGTTGGCTATACCACAACTGGAAGACCCTCGTCCTGTTAACAGCAAGATTACGGGTGACGAAACCTTTGGCGCAAGTCTTTAAGCCTTGCGCACCGCCAGTTCATATAGTGAATCTTTTGCGATATTTTACCGAATCGTCGCAAGGGGTAGTCACTCCGATCCTCAGTTATTACTTCGAGAGGGCAATGGTGAGCTGCATAAAAGAAGAAACAAGTTGACTGTCATGTCACCTCTATTAGCAAATTGCTCAAAGATGTGAAGTACCAGCTTTACCTAGTGAGTGTAGTAAATTTTGCTTAAAATCGTATGTTGCATTCTGTGCCACCTATCACCTTAATTCGTTAACCAGAATTGGCGAGCACCTTTTGACTTCAGGTCAACGGATTGAAGCCAACTTGATGTTCAAAATTCTATTAGGTCGTAAGAATTTCCAAATTTTCCCTTTCCCCTCGGCTGTTGCGATAAGCCGAGTGAAACCGGACATTGTGTGCAAACTCGGATCATCGGACTACTTTAGTGTGCCATGGATATCAGGGGGAAACATCAGTGCATCTTCCAATTAATTTCAGTTTTTCACACTCTTCGATTGATTTCACATGGTACCAGTCTGTGCAATTTGTGAATTGTCATCTAAGTCACTGACGAGCCGATACCGAATGCATACTTCCACCAACGCCGGCTTAACACTATGCGTCAAATAGTTGAGGGGAAATAACCATTTCGAAGTTTAAGGCAGTGTTCAGAAAGCGACTTCTTTTGTTCGCTTTTGCCACATGCATAAGGAAAGAATAGTTATTTCATGGGATAATGAACACGAACAATGGTCAGAACGGTAATTTGACTTACCATCAACTCGTTGAAACTCCACACCTGCAGTGTTCCTGGAATTTCAGACCTCAATCTTTTCAGCTCACCGAGATCGCTTCGCATAACTACCAAGTGGCTCAAATCAGTTGTCATCCAACTGAGCAAGGATTGTGCTCGGGCAACTGTGTCACAGACTACAATGCGTATCCCGGCTGTATGAGGGAATATAAAACCAGACGCAACAATCAATTGGATGCTGTCCAAATAGAAAGGCAACAGGCCCACTCCCCACCGTGTTAAAGCAGCAGCAGAAACAGCAGTAGCAGTTAAGAGTGTTGTATTCGATACGTTTAATAGATGACTGACCGTCATCCATCTAACCCAGAGTCTTACAGGATGGTACTGTCTTACTGTTGCAACAGGTATACACATGGTCTGAACTACATGTGGTCCATCAATTTCGTTTTTCAAACCATTTTTTCTGTCAATAGGTCCAGCTATGGTACACCGATTGAGCGATTCATCACGCAGGAATTTTAACTGACAGGAAGGTAAGACATTGGTGTTTCGGCAAGCAGGCAGTTCTGCAGCTGAAATGCCTTACGCACTAACAGATTAACGCGACATATAAAGAACAACTGCCTGTTTCATCCAGGGCAATGTAGGGCTCTGTTATGAATGTATACCCACCCTCACGCACGCATCATCTACCAACTTCTAACCGTAAGCAAGGGAAACGGGAGGTCTGCGAGTTTAGATCATAGTACTAACGGAGTAAGCAAATACTACACTGAAAAGCATATCGACCTAATACATATAACTCCGCGTGAAAGTACAGGAGGGTATGACAAACCCAAAATGTTATTGCAAACAGTGCGTTAAGAACAGGCAAACCTTTCTAACCATAAGGCCGTTACGGTTTTCGTGCTTGTTCATCATTTTTTCACATTGTATTGGAGAGGATGGTGATTCCACATCGGCTAAAGTGAGCATATGTAAGCAAGACGAGTGGTGACGGAGCCAGCAGTCGGATTTAATTAAAGCGTTTGTAAAGAGTGGTCAACTGGGTAACACCATAAAGAGACGACGTCCTCCAAAGTGCCTAAACTACATGAGTGCAATGAATGATAGCACATCTCTTCAGATCTGTATGCCGCTAACGGGGCCTCGTCACGCAGAAACTCCAAATGTCACTGACATCTAGCCGAATATTGCACAGCGAACGATCTGCGGCGTCGAGCCAAACGGTTTCGTGATGACTGCTGTGTCGTTTCTAACAGCCACAGACTGCTTAATCATCTACCACGTATCATCTGCAAAGTGTATCATATCATAATTTCATTCCCTCAAGAGTCCAAAGTTCGTCAAATAGCAAGCCAGATATGGATTTGAACAATTACACATGACAACCCATCGTTACTTGTCGACATTATCTTTCAAGCCACAGTCACCAGCTAACGATCGGGACACTCCAGCAGTGGCTAGGTGAGAGAGTTGCGGCTTTACTGTCTATCTGCCTTATTCAAGTTTCGCATTTAAAATAAACTAGGAAGAAGCTTTTTATAACACTTCGTAACTGGACAGACTGGAATTCGATTCTCAAGGATAAGTATGGTTCACCTGGGTCCAGGTGAGTTCACCGGGGACGCATTTATTGCTGTCAAGAATCGACTGATATTAACCAAACACGTAGCCCGGGCATCGTGGTGTGCAGGCTGATTAAAGAGGCACCAACAAGCGATAAAATGCATTGCACCAGTAGCTTGTGATGATGCCTCCCTGCGTGTAAGCATAATAACGATGAACATACATAACAAACAGAGGAAAGGAGGACTAAGTGTGGGATACAGATACTCCAAGAAAGCGTTTAGGACCAAGATGCCTAAACCTTGTTGAAAAAGCGATGTCACTAACAGCTGTCTATTCGTTTTACAACGGACCGAATGCCCCACCACATTGGTGTGGGTTCAATTGACGCTTGGATAAAGTAAATCCACTGGTAGGTCTGGAGCAACCAGACGGAATCAGGTGAGGTGACCGCAGTTTGCGGCGTCATGAACCACGGCTGTAGTTGGATTGATGTGTCGTGGTCTAACAGTAAACCATGTCTTGATGATGTTGAATGCCGTTACAAACGCTAAGTGGGATGTATGGGTATGGGTGGTACAAGGAGAGGATTCTTTGAAATATTTCACCTTCTGCTCAGCGATGGCCGAATCTAATGTATATGGCAGATGTTTAAATAGACGGTTCAACCCAGAGCCCAATCGAATTGATAGAGTAATAAGACTTACTCTGGACTCTGAGTAACTGAAGACCGCAGCCGGTTGACAAGGTATTTCATTCCAGCTATGAATCCGAAGCATTGCATACATCATGTGCTGTAAGTTTACCCAAAACCTTACTGTTTGAAGTTTAGAAGAAACACATATGGTATTTACTCAATTTGAAGTTGCAGATAGTTATAGACAGTTGTCAGATACACAAATTGCTTTAGGAATCACTACTTTTAGGACTGCTTCAACCAGCGATGACGAGAGGTGTCCGGCGTTGCCTCTGCAGATGGACAGGTAAATCTGTTTGGATGAACCATCTTCAGGTCATTCTGAGCACATATGAATTCAGTAAAATGTAAACACTTCGCTTCAAAATCTTAACTATGCTTGGAGCCGGTCGAGAACTCTTGAGTACCAGTACTTAAAAGCAATCGGTTGATATATTTGGTGGGTAGTGTTTCGCGTTGGGACAAAAGCTTCATCAGGCCAAGTAAACCATTGGATGATTGATGTGGTATTTGGAAGACTGAAACAATGATTCATGACAAGTAACATAACTTAGGATTGTTATGTCCCATAGGTTGGTAATGAAAGGAATTGAATATTACGCAAGTAAACCGAATAAAATGCGCATTGATGTAAAAGAAGGTAATGACATATAAAAGTAGGATTTTGTGAAGGAGTTGATACTATGCAAAAGGGAATAACTCTTGGTTACGGTTGATGTCTATTGCAAATAACAGTCAGATTTATCGTCCGTCTGTGCAGAAGACATACCTGCGTCACTGTAGGTAATACTTCCGAAGATTCTATTTAGCCTGAATATATCTCAGAATATCCGTTCATGCAATAAAGTGTAGGGAGCTTATTGCGATATCGAAAATTATTTTGACAATAGCTAATGTGGAGACACAGACAATTACGTTTGGAAGAGCGATCTAGAGATGGCAAACCCGGATAGAGAAGTATGTTCCGCAACAATTTAGACGACTGCATTACCGAACGAAACACAAGCAGTAACCTTTTGGATTGGTGTTCGGGGTGAGTATCAGAAGCTACTGACGTAAGTAGCTAAGATATTTTGACATTTGAGGTACCTATAGTACGTAACAACTTAGCGGGTGGTAGCGTCCAAGAAACGCTTCTAGTTCCTTCAGTCACTCTCGCTAAAGTAGGTGACGCTAAACTTTGATATTTTTCGTTTTCCGACGTTGCAGGTTTCCGATTGTTGCGAGTTCATGCTCTAGCTGAAGTTGTAGATTTTGGGTAGCGTATTCCACGTGGTGGCGCACGTAGGTAGTGAGCATCAGAGAGAGTTCAAAGTTCCGAGGACTCTCTGCAAGTGACAAACGGGCTCGGTACCTCCTTTGGTAGCGGAAGTTGACAATCTGGAACAACCGACGTCGTACTACACTAGCACACCGAAGTCACATTCTTGAGAGTTTGTTTATAGATTGAGCTCCGAAGTATCTAAGCATCAGCGTATCGAGCGCGGATGTGAATAACGCGGCACTTGTACGCTTTGGTTGCCAGTGTGTTGTTCACTGACCAATTCCGGGCCTCATAAATTTCGCACTAAAGGTAGTCGCAGTGACCCCGCCAATTGTCACATGACAGCGCTGCTAACTGTGTTTTAGGAGATTATGGAACCAATGATCAAGGATGCATTGATGCATTATCCGGAAAAGCACAGCATAGTAGCCCCGGAGCAAAATGGCTTCCGAGAAAATCGCTCATGTGCTATTAATCAGTTACTTTCAAGTATCAGCTGAGAAAAGTAGTTGACGGTGGAGAGAAGTGGGGGGTTAACAAACTGAATTTCTGAAAAGCCTTAAATCCCTAAACCGTCGGATTGTCCTCATTAGATCCGAAACTGAGATATTAGTGAACCAATCTGGGTTTGAAATGCGAGTTTCTGCAGTAAGTCGGTTAGAGTTAGGAGTCCGAGAATCCATGTTCGACACAACTGAGGTGCAGTGTGATCTACCACAAGGCTCGGTGCAAGAGCTTCGCCCGTTCTTGGTTTTCATAAATAATCTAGCACGGTTAATTGCTTCCGATTTCACATTCTTTACAGATCACATAAGCAGATGGCGCGAGATCAGGGGACGGAACGACGGCGAAGGGCTTCAGCGCTAATATGACACATTTTCGTAGTGGTCAGTTCAGCGTATCCCATTACAGAATGCTGAAAAAGATGACCATTTTTACTACGCTATAGTCATGACTACGTGTAAAGGCTTTGGGCACAGAGAGTGCAGACCAGTTCCCAGGAATTCAACCGTGTTCCGCTCGTACAGAGTGACCTCAACTGTTGTAAACAGGCTGAGTTAGCTGCTAACACAGTCAACCACCACGTCGGCATGCTATGGACAACATTCGATGATGCACAGATCTTACGTCACCATGGCGTTGAATAAGCTACCTAAACTTGGCAATCTTGGTTGAAGAGCAATCTCGAGGTGGTAGAGATACCGCAACGAAGGGGAACATATAAAGCCAAAGATCTACTTCATAGTCTCCAGTACTAGCAAAGGCCGAAGTTACTAGGAGTTTTCAATGGACGCTACCGAAAGATGCGAGGAGATCTCATATTGGTGTATAAAATATTGTGTGAGCCCAATCACATAGGCCGTCATTAGACAGAAACCATCCACAATATTACAGAATTAAATACTTAATGCAGTGTAAAAATACATCCGTATGGTTGCGAAGAGTTATTTGATTTTCAGGATCGTAAATGTTGAAACTCTCTTTCAGGCTATTTTTGTGCCAAAAGTATGTTTGTAAATCAGTACATAGGGTCTCTCCATAAAATGTGCTCTCTACATTCCAGTGCCAAATACCCGTTGCCTTGAAGTCAGGTCTTGAAACCAGAGACCTTGGTTAAGAACGCCCATCATTCCCCTGTCTAGGCCTAGGTAGCTTGCTAGTA